GACTGTACAAACTCTTCTTTCTTATTCTGAGGCCGCTCACTAAAGGCGGCGTACATGCAGGGTTATTCTTCTCTGTCATTCACGGGCTCCCCATCGCAACAACCTTCTATTCTCTTATCTTTTTATATTTCTTTAAGTAAAATTTCAGATTTGTATTGTTCTTTAATTATATTTCTTAAAACAATAATTCTACATTTAATTGTTTTTCTTTCTTTCTCTTTATTCTTTAATGTTCTCATACATGTATATGTGCATGTAAATATGATCATTCTTTGCTATTCTTTATAAATGCAAAAGCTCAAATGTATGAATGCATTATGGCATATTAAGATATCATTATAGAACTAATATTCTCTACCAACAACATTTCCATAACAAGATAATAATCTAACATACTCATTTACACACTTCACTTTGAAATTTCATCAAACACCTTACATGCACATACAAACCCTAAAATTGGTTACACTTCCACATATTTCTTAGGTCACCAAAATTGGAGCAAACAACTCTCTAAAGCCAACAATCAACCTAGCCAAATTTCATCCTCTACCTTTCCACATCCATTCTTTCATTTTTCATCCAAAATCCCATCAACTCAACACATACAAATACATCACTTCTCATCACATACCAATAAATCAATTCTCATCGCATATAATAAATTTCTTCTCATCACATATAATAAATTACTTCTCATGGCCATGACATTCACATATCAAACAACCTCAATTTTCAATCTATAATTCTCATCATCCAAACAAACATACAACATATAAAAAATTTCTCTACACAAGTATTTATCCAATCAAATCTAAAGTTTGATTTATTTACCTTGAATCTGAGCAACTCTAACTCCAACACTATAATCTCTCTTTCGTAGAATTCCCTTTCCTCTTAAACCCTAAGCATATAAAACCATAAGAATTCAAAACTTTAAAATTTAATCTCACATCTTGGTGCAAGAATCTTACCTTTGGATGCTTAGGATTGAAAATCTATCAAAATTGAACTAAAATCTTATGAATTTCCTTGAAAATTGAGTGAAGAAATTTGAGAGAATTTAGGGTGAAGGTGGCGTGAACTATAGGTAGAGTGGCTAGGGTTTCTCTTCTTGAACTCTTATTACATAATAATATATATATATATATATATATATATATAGTCTCCTATTTTACCCTTGCACTTTCTAAAAATTTCATCTATGTCCCTTAGTCAATTACAAAAATGCCCTCATTTTTATTAACTTCTCCATGTTATTTTACTTCTTTTCACTCCCCACTTTTTCAACTAATTATGCGTGAAAAGACCATTTTACCCCTAATAAAGGTTTAAGGAATTTTCTTCACATTTGTTCAAGATAACTTTAACAAAATTCAACTAAGGGTACTAGAACATAAATAAAGCTATGTACCTTGATGTAGACGTTACATGAACACCGTACAAACTCAAAGGATTAAGTAAATTAGAAAGTGATAGGTGGCCCCAATGTTTGAACCCATGACTCAATCAAAGAAAAAAAAAATTATATATTATACTTCTTAATTGTATTATGCTCTTGAGTTAATTATTTGTAAGCATTTTTTTTAGCTTTATTTTATTTTAACTTTCAATTTGAATATTCAAATTTTTGTTTTAGAAATAATGATAGGAGGAGTATATACGACAAGTGAAAGAAATGAAGGGCTTTTATAAATATTATGGGATGCCATAAAAAAAGAAAATTAATTACAAAATTTTCAAACGGGGTGTTTTAAGAAATATAGTGCCTTTAATCAATTAATAGGGCCAATGGGTCTACCGATAAAACAAAGGGGCTACTTAGCAGTACTACAATAATCTCGTGATAATAAACAAACACGCAGCCCAATAGTACAGGCCCATGAGCCGAGTACACTAACTATAAAATGCCGCAATCCAAAACCCTAATGTTTTCAGTCGCACACGAACTCATACAACCGCTCTTGACTGCATCACACTGATACCAACACCTAGAAGTATTGAATTGATGCAATATGAAGGTTCCTATCGCACTTCAACTCAACCTCTGTTCACCATTCCAATCTCTACTATTGTTTTTTGCTTTTTTTTCAAAATTTAATTTGTTTAACTTTCAAAATTGTCTCTAATCTTTGCAGTTTAACATTGCAAACCCCACCACTGGCTGCCAGAAGAAGCTCGAGATTGATGACGATCAGAAGCTGTGAGTTTCATTTTCCCATCTTTTTCGTTTTTATCTTTTTTATTTTTATGTGTAGTGCCTTGTTTGGGTTTTCGAGTAGAAAAAAAAGGTCGTAAACTATAATGATGATTGAATCCCCATTTGTACACTAAATAGTTTGATTAAGCGCAAACGCGCTAGTTCTTGTTTATTCAATTGCCGAAAACTGATAAAGTCTTGTAGTTTAAGGTCATCTGCTTGACTATAGTTTTTTTTTTTTTCCGACATATTGAGCCTATATCTATTTTATAAAATTAGCTTTCATCAATTAGTTTAAGATTTTATATGTCATGTTGTCTGTACTGTTATTAATGGATTGGTGATGAGGTCCTATGGATATTCTAGTAATTAGTTGACAGACTTAACAAATGATATGTTGAGTAATTGATTTGGATAACATTGATACTGATATTAATTATTTGAAATTTTGATATGTAGCCGAGCTTTTTTCGACAAGAGGATCTCACAGGAGGTCAGTGGAGATGCCCTGGGGGAGGTATGCACTAGCTGTTGTTCCTTCAGCTGCTTAAAATCTTGACAATATATTAATAATGGATGTTTTCACCTTACTAACTTCTTGTTTGACAGGAATTCAAGGGCTATGTTTTCAAAATCATGGGTGGCTGTGATAAACAAGGCTTCCCAATGAAGCAGGGAGTGCTGACTCCTGGTCGTGTTAGGCTCTTGCTTCAGAGAGGTGAGTAGACTGGGGAATGTATTGTTTCGTAGGAGTTGAATTGATCTAATGTTGGCTGAGCTTGTCAAATTCTATTGAGCATTTAAATCCTAATATGATATTAGATCATTTGTTGTCATTGTTTTCATTACACTAAAATTATTGCAACTTAATTTCCTTGATACAGCTTCTAGAATTCTTCTCTCTTTTCTGCATTATTTGTTAACTTTCTTTTACTAATGCTAGGCTAGCCATTCAAGTTTAATATATTAACCATTTGTTTCAGGTTTGAAAAAATATTTTTGAATATGTGATAACTTTATTTCTATGGCCTGATTATTTTCTGTTGTGCTACAGGAATGAATATGCTTGAACTCCTTTGTCATAGTCCTATTACATCCTTAAATTCTTGCAGTCTAGTTTGGCTATGAGTATTTTGCTCTGTTTCTTTGGTTTGAAATGGAGCTGTTGCTTGAACGAACTGATTTACCTGCTTCAATTTGAACAGGAACCCCATGCTTTAGAGGGTATGGAAGGCGTAATGGAGAGCGTAGGAGGAAATCTGTCCGTGGATGCATCGTTAGTCAAGATCTCTCTGTTTTGAACTTGGTTATTGTTAAGAAGGGTGAGAATGATCTACCTGGATTAACAGATAGTGAAAAGCCAAGGATGAGGGGTCCAAAGAGGGCATCCAAGATTCGTAAACTTTTCAACCTCTCTAAGGAGGATGATGTCCGCAAGTATGTGAATACCTACCGAAGAACCTTCACAACAAAAACTGGTAAGGTTTACTCTCTCTCTCTCTCTCTCTTTTTTTTTTTTTAAATAAACTCGTTTTGTCAAATTTCTTCAATCTTGGGTTTGAAGTATAGATTGGAAAATTGAGAGCACTATAACGGATTAGATAAATAGATTCTAGATGGAGTGGCTGTTAGTTTCTTTACCTTGAAATCAACTCTTCTTGAATAAAAAAATATTTCAGTAATAATGGTAACCTACATTGCCTTTGAATTATTTGAACTGTCGAGAGTGATGGTTAGCTTCTTGTCAAATTTGAGGTGCTATAGTTTTTGTTTTCTTTTTTTTTTTTAATGAGAAATAGTATTGGCCATGCAATGACTTGGTATGGTAACTATTTTCATATAATATTTTGGGTGAAAGCTGCGGAGCCCAGTTTTGGGAGTGGTTGAAGTGATATGGTCTCTAACTTGGATGGATATATTCGTTTGTTTGGTTCGGCAGGGAAGAAAGTTAGCAAAGCTCCAAAGATACAGAGGCTTGTTACTCCGTTGACACTCCAGAGGAAACGTGCTAGAATTTCTGTGAAGAAGAAGAGAATAGCTAAGTCTAAGGCTGATGCAGCTGAGTATCAAAGACTTCTGGCCACCAGGTTGAAGGAGCAGCGGGAGCGTCGTAGTGAGAGCTTGGCAAAAAGAAGATCCAAGCTTTCTGCTGCTTCAAAGCCATCCGTTGCTGCATGAACTGGTTTTCTACTTTTGGTGATCCATTATGTCACCACTCAGTTTTTGGTAGTTTATCAGTTTGATCTTGAAAGTATTTTGGCAAATGTGGATGTTTTATGTTTCAGAAGTTAAAACGTTGGATCAAATATTTTGTGCATGCTATCGAGTTACGGTCTAGTGTATCACTTTTTTGTTTTAGAGTTAGGGTTCGCGAATGCTGTTTAGGTCTACAAAACTGGTGTTTCTGTTGTCTAGTGACCAACGTTTGGTCTCTGTTTGAATGATGATCGCCATTTTAAAATTTTAGAGCAGGTGAGCTTTGATAGTAAGATTGTGGTTATGAATACGAAAGATAAATATTGTGGCTTGAAGATGCAAGTTGACAATTACAGTTGTGGATTGTTTGCTTGAAACGTTACATGGGTACCTTGATTTGGGACCGTAAAACCGCTGGGATCGCCTGGGCTCAGTCCGGGTTTCTTTAAAAGATCCAAGACTGGGCCTGGGAAGAAGCCCGGGTTTACAAATATATTGTTGGGAAAAGCCCTGATTTTCCAGGCCTGGCCGGGTACAGGTTGGGTCCTTTTTTTTTTTCTATTTTTTTTTTCTTTTAATCGTCCTTTTACAGCCCTAACTTTGATCAAGAAATTAAGTGCTTTGAAGTAAGAACTACAACAACAACGACATACATGGTTGTATAGGGAGCATTGTTTTAAAACGCAGACCAGAGGGCAACCAGTTCTGTTGCTCGGGTAAGGGGCAATCGGTTGGATCGATGACATCATCATATTAGTATGATGATGCCAGCACATTAAAAAAAACCTTTTTTATTTTATTTTAAGACTTCCATTTTTTAATAAGATAATAACAATTTAATTATTGTTTAACATGATTCAAAGTTCAAATTCAATAACAATTCCAACATAATTTAAGTATTTAACAACAATCCAAAGTCTAAATTCAAACATGATGTATTCATCCTTTATATATTAAATGATAAAATACATAATAATTAATAACAAAACATTTGGTGCAAGTGTTTTTTCTTTGATCTGTCTCCATGTTGATTGAGCTTCACACATTAGCATTAAAATTCATCACCATCATCATCATCATAACCATCACCATCACCATCATCATAACCATCACCATCATCTACGTAAATTTCAGTAAAAAGTACAAATCATAAGTTAAAACTTGTAATTTAATTTAAAATAGATACTAAGTTGCTTAAATATTTGAAACCAACCTTCTGAACCATCGGTTGAATTATAAAAAGAAGGGTGATCAGCAACTCCAGTAGAAATAGATCCTTCTCCATAGAACATTTGTTCCAACTCTTCATAATTAAGTTCACTGACCTCCTCTTCATCGTCAACTATCCAACCTTCAGTTTTGTCAATACTTTCATAATCAATAGGATTGAAACTTATTCTCTTGTAACAGCTCCTAAAATACCATAATGAAATATTAAAAGTATGACAAGTAAAATATTAAGGAAAATAATAGATAATAACAATAAGAGTGATTGTGACAAGTAAAATATTAAGGAAAATAATAGATAATAACAATAAGAGTGATTGAGCATAATTGAGTAATTGACAATGTTTAATACCTGTTTTGCAAACGCAAGTTAATCATTCAACCTTTGATACTCCAATCTATTCCTCTTTTTAGTATGTATGCGCTCAAAAACACTCAAATTTCGTTCACATCCCGAAGAGCTTGAAGTTTGGCTAAGAATTTTTATTGCAAACTTTTGCAAATTTGGAGTACTATACCCAAATGATCTCCACCATTCATCTAATTCAAAATTAAACATAATAAATAAATTAGACTTAAAAAACAAAAGAGCTCATAAATTTTATAATTATTACGTACTAGGACGTGTGGTTTTGGCGGTTTCAAGAGCAAGCCCACGAGAAAAGCTTTCCTCCTGGTTTGAATATAATCTACTCTCTTCCATTAACCTTGTCTTGTTCAAATTGAACGCACTTGCTTTACTGTCAATAGTATGAAGGAAACCAACCACTCATGACTTCTGGCTTGGCACAAAAAGATGCTTCGTCATATTTAAAGACATGATTCAAATAGTAAGCCGCAGCATGGATATCACGGCACAACGTCCTATCCCAGCGTAGCTTAATGATTCGTGTATAAGGCTTGTACAATCTCTTTTTATTCTTAAACAACTTCTTAATTGCATTTTTCGCTCTGTACATGCCATCATACACAATCCTATTGCTGGCTTCTCATCTGAGTCAACAATCCGCAACAAGTGCATCAATGGACTCACAACTTTGGATATCTTGCCCATATCATCCCAAAAATCGTTATCTAGAATTATGTCAATAACATGTTTTATTACTTTTTGCATATCAAGAATCGACAAATGACCTATCTGTCACCATGGCTTGCAAGTCATGTTTGTGCTCATGAAGGCTTCTCATTGCAATGAAAGTTGTAGCAAAACGGGTTGCGCCTAGATGAACAATTTCTTTCCAACCCTGTTCAATTGATAAATAATAGATGTTAGTCAATTATAAAAAATACATATTATGTTATGACTTGACAAGAACATGAGGTAAAGGTACATTACTTGTCTTTTCCTCAACCAAGCTATCAAGAATGTATGATTATATATAAACTTCGTCACCTCAGAAGCACGTCTCGCAAGATACACTATGTGATCCATCTCAGCTATGTCTTTTAACACCAAATTTATGCTATGTGCTGCACAGAGTGACCAAGTAATACTCGAATATTTCTCAGACAGCATTCTTCCAACAGCTTTATAATTGGATCCATTGTCTGAGACAAAATGGGCAATACTATTTGGTCTAATCCATAAAGCTACCTCCTCAAACATCTTCAACAATGTCCCAACATCCTTCACAACATCTGAAGCATCAATTGATTTCACAAAACAAACTCCCTTAGGACAATACACCATAAAATTGATCAATGACCTATGTGAATTATCAGTCCAACCATCAGCCATTAAGGTACATCCAACATTTTCCCAAATTTTTCTGTAACTATCAACAAGAAGTTGCACATCCTTCTTATCATCTCTTAACAAATTGACAAAAAACCATGATAATTTAGGTGTTTATACCCAGACCCAATTGCAGCTATAGCATCCACCAAAGGCTAAAGATAAATTGAATTTACAGCATTAATTGGGATGCAAACATCATAAAATAATCTTGCAAAAGCCATGTCTGCTCTCCACGTTACATCTTTTCCAACTAAACAACTCCTAATTGATGGTTAAGATCCACCAATTGTCCTTGGAGCAAAATAGTCACCAACCCCAATAGATTTTTTTCTTTTTGATTTGTCTAGCATTGTACTTTGTTTTTTATTGCCAAACCTACCTTCATTTATGTGAATTTCTGATGGACGAAACTCTTCACTATCTTCATTTAACATATCTCCCTCAAATCCATGTACGGGAGCACCATAGAGAGTATTATACTTACTAGAATCAGCCTTCTCTTTATTCTTTATCCCAATGTCTTTTAGTGATTCTCTAATCAAGTATTGAACATCAAAAGGAACTTTTAAACAAGCACCAACATCCCCCTTTGTTCCAACTAGATGTTGTTTCATTCTAAAAATACCTCCTCCTCTAGTTACTTTCCCACAGTGAAGACATTCTAATGTCTTCCTTCCATTTGGATCTACACCCTCAATAACATGTGCCCATGTTATATCAGTCCTACCTCTACTAGATTGTGAAGAAGACCTAGAGCCAGATGTTACCATTGTCTATTTTTAATCTTTATCTACCTGTCACACAAGAAATAACAACAATTTAGTATGCCTTTTTTAAGCCTGTTAATATATATCTAACATTATTACACTTGGTAACTTGTAGGTGAGAAATGAACTTGAACATTTGCTAGATGATGACAATGACATGGATGATTTCCTGAAATACAATGGGCAGGCAATTTAAAAGACTAATTGTGCTAATTAGTATGACAAATATATTGTACAACTTTCTATGTAGAAGCCTTATCTATCTATTTTGTCCCTTAATAACACCCCGAATTTTGATCACTTTCGCTCTACAGTTTGGATTAATCTGTGAAGGTAAAGCTGGTGGGAACACACAAGAATTTTCTCACTTTATAAACCAAACAATCATATATGTGGTCATTTTTAAGTGAATATATATAAAAAAAAAAAAAAAAAAAAAAAAAAGGTCCCGACATAGTTCTTCAATGCACCTACTTTTGAAATTATTCACCAATCAATTTAACAATTTGACCTGTGCCTTTTGTGCTTGAAACCCACTATAAGGACAACTATTATTCATGTAGAAAATCAGCACCAGAATTCATAACTGCATCCGACACCTTTAATTGTTTTTTATCAGCTAGTTTAGGAAATCTTTACAGCTCATACTTTCCTACATTTACACATATGTTGTTATACGTTAGCATAAGTTTAGGAGTAATTTAAGTTTCTCAAATCTTTATTTATACGTCCTCTTCTAATAGAAAAGTGTGTGAATCATTTTCTCCATTTTTGTTCAAACTTCTATATGGTATCAGCTTAAGCCTCAAAAACTCCAACGAGTATTTCCTATCTTTCTTGCTTCCGCCATGGCCACTTCTTCCTCTGACAGTGTTCCAATAGCCATCAATGCCACCTAGGAAATTACTACACATCTCACACCAACCAACTTCCCTTCATGGCATGCTCAATTCGAGTCTCTCCTTCTCGGCTATAATCTCTTTGGTTATGTCAATGGCACTTATACCTACCCACCTCTACCGACGTCAACTGATGCAGCTGCCACTGCAGCTCATCTCCTTTGGTTCCATCAGGACAAACTTATCCTAAGTGCCATTCTGACTTTAATGTCCCCAACTGTGATACCACTCATAGCAACCTCCAAGACGTCACATCAAGCCTGGATTAAACTAACAAAATTTTATGCTAGTCGATCTAGGACTCACGTCATGCAGCTCAAAGAGGATCTCTCCCTCATGCAGCGTGGAACTAGCAGCATTATAAAGTACCTATACTCTGTTAAAACTATTGCTGATGAGCTTGCCCTTATTGATGCACCGTTAACCCAAGATGACATCACCCTGTATGTTCTTCATGGCTTAGGATCTGATTTTCACGACATTGTTGCCCCGATTCAAGCCCAAGAGTCTTCTCTCTCATTTGAATAATTACATGATCTGCTACTTGGTCACGAGGCCTATATTCGACGGCTTGACTCCACTACGCAATCCTTGGTCCTTACTGCGAATACGACTCAACGCAGGGATTCACGACCCTCGAAGACTCAGTCTTCATCAAATTATCAACCATAGAAGACTGACTCCAAATGAAAGCCTCGACAGTCCAAACAATACAAGTATCCTCCCAAGTGTCAATATTATGATCAACAAGGCCGTATTGCCAAATACTGCCCGAAATTGAAGCCCTCTAAAGCCATTGTGAACTGCACAACTGCCACTCCTAGTCCGGATAAACGTTGGTTCATTGATTCAGCGACTTCTCATAATATTACCTCTCAGGTTTCCAACTTACAATTTCACTCTGAATATGATGGTACTGATGAGGTTATTATTGGAGATAGATCAGGTTTGCCCATTACTCATTCCGGTTCTCTTACCCTTTCATTTCCAAACAGAAAATTTCAAGTTGAAGATACTCCATGTGTTCCTACAATTAACAAAAACTTGATATGTGTTCACCACTTCACAAAGCAAAACAATGTCATCTTGGAATTTCACCCAACTTATTTTCTTGTGAAGGATCGGAGAACAGGGGAGATACTGCTTCAAGGACCGTGTGAACATGGAGTTTATCCTCTGCCTTCCTCACCTGCTGCTACTCCAGTTGCTTTTGTCCATGAACGAACATCCATAGCTGGTTGGCATCAACGCCTTGGTCATCCATCATCCAAAGTTGTTACTCGGCTCATTAGCTATTTCTCTCTTCCTACCAGTTCATCTCTTTCTAGTTCTAATAAGTGTCATTCGTGTGCTATCAATAAAGCTCATCAGTTATCCTTTCACAAACATGGTCTAACAAGCAAGGTACCATTTGATTTGCTTTACACTAATGTATGGGGACCTTCTCCCATGCCTAGTCTCAATGGTCACAAATATTATGTTATTTTCGTTGATCACTTTACAAAATATGTGTGGTTCTTTCCCTTGCATCAAAAATCAGATGTTAAAACAATATTTCCTCATTTCTACAAAATGATAGAAAATCGTTTTAACATAAAAATTAAAGGAGTATATTCCAATAATGGAGGTAAGTTTACTGTTCTTCGACCTTTTTTCACTACCCATGGAATTAGTCATTATACGACTGCCCCTTATACACTCCAACAAAATGGAGTGTCTGAGCGTCGTCATAGACATATTGTGGAGACATGTCAAACTCTCCTAAGTCATGCCTCTCTTCCATCAAAATATTGGGCTTATGTTTTTGCTACAGCCACATATCTGATAAATCAACTTCCATCACCTGTTCTCCATCATAAATCACCTCTTCAAGTTCTCTTCAAGCAGCAACCTTGGTAAGAAAAACTGCATTCCTTTGGATCTCTATGCTTTCCCTTGATGAAGTCGTATAACACCAACAAATTTCAAAAGAAGTATGTTCCTTGTGTTTTTGTTGGCTAATCTACTAGCCAAAGTGCTTACCTATGTCTTCATCTTCCAAGTTAGCGCATATACATCTCTAAGCACATAAGCTTTGATGAGTCTGTTTTTCCCTTCAAATAGGTTCCAATACAATCTCCTACTGACTCATCAACACCAAAAATATCTTCTTATTCTGGACCAATTCTGCAGCTTGCCTCCAAGGAACTTCCAGAAATCACATGGCCTCAAGGAGATCTCCTCTTTGCTTCTTCGACTCCAAGTGAAGATCCAACTCTTGTGCAACCTCTAGAGGCACCAATATACAATCCAGATCAAGTACCTCCTATATCCTCTGCCACTCTTTTATCTACTTCTGTCACCCAACCAGAAAATTCAATACCATCCCCTCCCACACCACGTCCGAGAACCATCATTACTCGATCCATGAACAATATCTTTTGGCCAAAACAACTTCACAGCACCACCAAGCACCCATTACTTGAACCACCTGAACCTTCTTGTGTCAGTCAAGCCCTCAAAGACCCTCATTGGCGAAAGGCAATGTCAAAAGAAGTGACAACCCTCCTTCATCATGGAACGTGGGACTTGGTTCCTCCCACTCTTAGCTAGAATCTTGTTAGGTGTAAATTTGTGTTTCGGAAGAAACGAAATCTAGATGGCACAATCAGTCGATATAAAGCTCGACTTGTCACTAAAGGATTTCATCAACGGCCAGGTATTGACTACTCTCAAACCTTCAGTCTCGTGGTAAAACCAGCAACAATTCGGTTTCTTTTAACCATTGCGGTTATGAATGGTTGGTCTCTTCGACAGTTAGACGTCAATAATGCATTCTTGCATGGTACTCTTGAAGAAATAGTCTTCATGCACCAAGCTCCAGGATTTGAAGATCCATCTAAACCTAAGCATGTTTGCAAGCTCCAAAATAGTATTTATGTTCTTAAACAAGCACCACGACAGTGGTACCAGCCCTTTCGGGATGCACTCCTCAGCTTTGGTTTTGTTCACTCGGCCACTGACACTTCTTTGTTCATTTATAAGTCTCATGATATCTTATGCTATTGCCTTGTTTATGTTGATGACATAATTGTCACAGGCAACACACTAAGCTTTGTGAATGACATTATAAAAAAGTTTGGCTGTACATTCTTAGTCAAAGACATGGGCCCTTTGCATTTTTTTCTTGGGAATAGAAGTGATTCCAATGCCACAAAAGCTCTTTCTGTCACAACATAAGTACATTCGAGACCTCATTTCCCAAACCTCCATGGGCAATGCTAAAGAAACACTTACTCCAATGTCCACTACAACTAAGCTTACGATTCATGATAATTCAAAGTATGTTGACAGCACTGAGTATCGCAAGACCATTGGAGCACTTCAGTATTTAGGACTCACTCGCCCAGATATTGCCTTTGCAGTCAACAGATTATCCCAATTCATGTAGAAGCCAACAACAAATCATTGGACTGCAGCAAAACGGCTTCTCAGGTAAACCATGTTTCATGGCCTTCTCCTACAAAAGCATGATCAATTCCAACTCAAGACTTACAGTGATGCAGACTGGACATCAAATACGGACACTCGGGTTTCAACCACTGCTTTCATCACCTTTATTGGTCCTAATCCAATCTAATGGTCTGCACGCAAGCAATGGGCAGTCTCAAGATCATCCACAGAAGCAGAATTTCAGGCACTAGCAACTGCCACGTCAGAAACAGTTTGGCTTCATTCTCTTATCAAGGAACTTGGTCTCAATCTCAAAGAAACACCTCAACTGTTTTGTGATAATATTGGCGCCAATCATTTCAGTCTAAATCCAGTCCAACACACATGGATGAAACACATTGAAATCAATCTCCTCTTTGGTCGACATATTGTCAAGAAGGGAACCATTCGTGTGCATCACATCCATACAATTGATCAACTAGCTGATCTCCTTACAAAATCCCTACCACGTCAGCGCTTTCAACTATTAAGATCCAAGATTAGTGTTGCAAATGGCACCTCCATCTTAAGGAGGCATATAAGGATAGCTATTATTCATGCAGAAAATCAGCACTAGAATTCGTAACTACATCCGACACCTTTAATTGTTTTTGATCAGCTAGTTTAGAAAATCTGTACAGCTCATATTTTCCTACATTTACACATATGTTGTTATACGTTAGCATAAGTTTAGGAGTAATTTAAGTTTCTCAAATATGTATTTATACGTCCTCTTCTAAAAGAAAAGTGTGTGAATCATTTTCTCCATTCTTGTTCAAACTTCTAAACCCACAAAAAGCTTCTTACTTTTCCATCTTCTTTTATTAACACAGCGTTATTAATTAGAGGAGATATCATTATTTTGCCATATAAAATCCCTTTATGTTATTATTTGTGACATTATAATTTTGCCAACAAGAGCAACAACATGAACCTTGACATCATAATTTACATGATTAATAGTCGTAACATCTTTGGTGATTTGCCAAAAATCTATCATCGCCAATCACCATATCTAAAATTATCAAATTTATCTTGCATATTTCTTTTCATTCATCAGAAATTTCTCTCCATGGAATTCTAAGTAATTTCTCAGAATGCAAAGAGAGAGGCATTCAGAAGACGAAAGCAATCCAAGGTTTGCGCATGCATGAAAATCATTAGTTAAATGGTTGGTAACTTGACTTGCTTCACCATTCAAATGAATACCAAGTCCCCACAACTCAACACTCCACTGACCACCAAAGACCGAAAAGATTCAACGCACAACCGACACAAGTCTACTTTACTTTAACATATTATGATAAATGCATTAATAAAACAAGTTGGAAAACGAAATGGAGTTGTCGTGAATGGTGTGTTTTTTACCTGGATCGTTAACGAGAGGAGGAATGGAGTTGTCGTCGTCCGGTCATCGTCGTCGTCCGGGAATGGAGCTGTCTTCATCGTCGTCAATTTCTAGCAAGGAATGGAACTGTCATCGTCGATTTTCGACGAGGGCGGAAGGCGTAGTCGCGATTTCATAAAGTTGAGTTGTGATCGATTTCAGCAAGGAATGGTTGCGATTTCAGACTTCAAATAGTGGAGTTCATTGAGATTGAGTGGCGATTTGTGTGGGATTTCAGATTTTCAGCATGGTGTTAACATTTTTTCAGAGGATTTTGCATAGAGAAAGTGAGAAATTAGGGATTTTTTCCCCTTTTCAGATGTTGGACCGATTTTTCAAGTGGTCCAGTCCGACCGGTGGTTTACACTGTTCGCGCCGTTCATTGGCGGTTCATAGTGGTTCATTGAGTAATACCAAGTTTTATATTGACTCAAACCGGACACGTGACCAGGTCCCAGTCCAACCGGTTGGACCAGCCAGTCCGATTCAGTTTTTAAAACCCTGATAGGGAGAAGAAAAGTAGCAATTTTCTTAAAAATAATTATTTTGCTGTTATGGCTTCAAAAAATTTCTATATAAATGATTCTATATATATTCTGAAAAATTGCCCATGTTTTGATACATGAAACGATAGAAAATCTCTCCTACAAAAATTTAGCGACAGCAAAAATGGAAAATTTGTGCTATAAAGATTCTCATTAAATATAGAATCTCATGGGTTAAGATAAATAAAATGAGCACGATTTATTTAATAATTAATATAATATCAAGGATTCAATAGGTGTTTTGAGACAAACTCTTAACAGATATATGTTATAGTTTAGGGCGAATTAAAAAAAAAAAAAAAAAGGCGGGTTCTTTACGCGTGAACGTATTTACTTGAACGGAAACTCTTTTAACCAAAATGTTAAACCCTTCAAAATAGAAAACATTAACGGAAGTATATTCCCAAACGCAATATAAATTATTTCAAACAAAATTGATTTAAATTAGAATAATATTACACATACAACAGTCTCATATAACATGATGTGATAAAAGATGATTATATGTATAGTATTACACATTAAATTAATAGAGTTTGAGACGCATTGCAAATTGTGGACATTTTGATAAATTTTTTAATAAAACAATTAAAATAAAATAAGATTTTTATTTTTATTTTTTTTGGGGCTAAAAAAGGATTTTGAATGATTTTAAAATAAATAAGACTTTGAAATAATTCCAGTGGAGATTACCATGAAAATCAAGCAAGAGGAGTTCTGATTGAAATAAAATAGGTTAGTCGCATTTAATGACGTGTTTAATTTAAAATCAACTTCTTCAGCTAAAACATAGGATTTTAGGGAGAAAAATTAAAATAAAAAATCATTAGAAGAAATAAATTACAAAATTTTTAAATAATCGCTTATTAAATATCTGAGAAATTATATTAAATGACCCTATTTATACCCAATAATTGAGAGGTAGCACTTTTGGGAAAGTTTCTCAAAACATAACACAATCCTAATTCACACAATATTTTTGGAAAATTGAGTGGAAATCAAAGGGTTTCGGCAGATTCAGCAAAAAAATGCAAGGTCTGATAGAGAAGATGAAGTATATTTTTGGCCAAATACCTAGGATTTGGTTAGGTTCGGCTAGGACAAGTTCAATCCAAACTATTGAATTCTGCCTAATGACATGGTTTCAGCCATATTCGGCCACCTTAGTATCAAGAGGCATAATAGGCTGAATCCGACCAAATACCTAGGTGTCGGCCAAAACTCATCTTAAACCTCCAATCAATTTTCTATTCAAATCCTCCAAAGTTGGTGAAATCTATACTTAGATTACGCCTAAACAACCAATTTCAACAACAACCAATTTCAACATATCCACTTAAATATAAGCTTAAGCAGCTATAGCAACAACAAATCATTTAAAAGATAACTTATTTAAAAAGTTTCCTTGACATATACGCAACATACTCAACATTTTAGATTTCAAACAACTTTCAAATACCAAAACTTATCTTCTCGCTCTTGTGAACTGTTTAATAAGTCTATATATATATATATATATGCTTTTGAATTAATGGTTAGGGATTTGTCATCAAGGGCAATTTCGTCTGCCAAATTTGTGCTAATTGGAAATATGCTATTTCTTGAGACACTTTTCAAAAAGTGCTAGTTTTCAACTCCCTTCCCCTATTCCTGCCATTTGATATAATTTCTCTAAATATTTAAAGATTTTAGAGTATGAAAAAAATAGGAAAACGGTAATTTAACAAAATTTGAAAATACTCCAATTAAAGGTTTTGTTTACCAAGTGTTCGTTTGATAGAGGGTGCAAAAAACAATATTTTAGAAATTCAAATCTTTTGAATATGATCAATTGTATAAATGTATTTTGCTGCCTAAATATTATTTGTAGAGATTTTTAGAATGACAATAGCATAGGACTATCAGCTTTCATCAAAGGAACCATGTTCCAACAAACACTCAACAACAACACATCAGCAAAGTATTTTAAGTATAAAATCATATAAGGAACCTGAACAAAGAATAAACTCTCTAACAACTATCAGAGATCAAAATAGAGTATTCAAGTTCAAGAAAAAAATGTAAGGATGAAGAAGATATTATATAATCCTTGATCAACAAACCCTTAGACCCAACGGACAATGGCTTACACATTTTTTACTATTTTAGGAAAGATTTCAACAACTTGTTTGCACCACATTTGAAAAAGGTACAACAACTTTCCTGGACCACTTCTAAAATATCATACACCTGTATTTGGACAACTCATGTATATTTTAGAACTGGAAAATATCCTAACAACCAATGAAAACTCGACTCATGTATTAAAGGGTCAAACTGGAAAGATGTTTACACAACTGATTCAAATGTGCCCACATATTTACAGTAACGTCATACTAAGAAAATGTGCACACATTTATACAAGATGTTACGACATGTGTAAACCATAGACAACATTCTGCTTAATCAAATAAAAGTGCTAACCTCAAAAATGAATGTGCATGCATAACTTCAGAAGTTGACAAAAATATTTACACGGGTTGAGTTATTGAACAAAGAGAAAAAGAAGATATGAAAGAACAAACCCAACTCCAAACTCTCCCTCGTCGGCCCGCTCATTCCAACTTCTGAAGCACAAAAGAAATGGCCAAGTAGATACACTTGCAAATGCTTCTTCAAGGTTAAACTGATTTTTTATTCTAATTCTTTTTATTTTCTGGAAATGTTTTTGCTTTGGAGAGTCTGTTTTTTTTTTTTTTTTTTTTTTTTTTTTTAGGTTTTTTAGAAGAAGAATGGAGCTCTGGCAGAGACTGATTCTAATAGGAGAGAATTTTTATTTAATAATTTTTTTTTCTAGCATACAATTGTTTATTAATAAAAAGATGTTTTTCTAAAAGCAATTTTTAGTTTATTAGGAAAAAATTTGGCTTTTTATGAAACACTTCCAGATAAATTCTAAAAGTGCTTTTGGCAAAAGAAAATAAAAATTTTTTTTTCTGGCATTCAATTATTTATGGATAAAAAAGGCACTTTTCAAAAGCATATTTTTGTTTATTAGAAGAAAAAAAATTGGCTTTTTATGGAACACTTCCAAATAAATTTTAAAAGTGCTTCTCTTAAAAGAAAATAAAATGTTTTTTAATCTATTCTTTGTCTTAAAAAGTCACTTTTTGCTTCTGAAGAAGAGTTTAATTGATATTCATCAAGAAAGTATTTTCTAAGTTGAAAGATGGTTAAAACATTATCAAAGAAGACTTGATAATTTTATTTTTAAAGTGTTTTTCAATATCTTAAAAAAAGCATTTTTTATTTTATAAAAGCACTTCCATAGGGCTTCTAGCCATTTTTATTTGTGAATTGATTGATAATATTGTTGTGTTGATTTCTGTGTTCTAGGTATAGTCGATCAGATGAAGAGGAAGAAGTTCAGCAGGCAAAGTGTCATTATACTAAAGCTTTCATAGATAGGAGTGAGTACAATCTTGGTGATAATGCTTATGTCAAGGTAACTTCTTATTCTTTATTTTCCTTTCATTGAAAGTGTTTCCCAGTTCATGTATTGATAATCACTTAATTTTTAGGCTAAGGATGGGAAGCTTGATGATATTGCTTGAATCATTGAGTTGTTTGAAGGCACTAATGGAGCGCCATACTTTACGGTTCCATGGTTTTATACAGTTGAAGACACATATAGATTATTCTATAATTATTCCATATTTTTTCACCCATATCTTTATTATCTATTCTGGTGTATTGAACTTGCAGTTTTTTGTCATTTCTAGGTCATCAAGGACCTGCAAATCTTGTTGAAAAAGAAGAGTGCTTCTCTTATATGTTAAAGATGACAATCCACATAATTGTATTGTGTCTAAAGTAAACATTGCTTAGGTTGCCCTAAATGTAAGAGGATTGCATCGTGCTTCCTTAATTTATTCTCTCCATTTTTCTAGTTCAATTGTTGCATTCATATCACATAAAAGGTCATAACTAGTTCTGTGCAGTGCAGATGAACTAAGGAAAAGAAGGAACATATTTCTTCTTGTGACTTGTATTATGATATGAAATACACATTGCCATACTTGACTTTTAAAACATAATCACAAGTAATTTATTTTGCTCCTACAATATGGAATTTTTCATATTTTTTGTTATTAATTGATGCTATTTGCTTTATTAACTCTAAATTGATAAAAAAGATAGTGATACATCGACTATTTCAAGTGAAGGGTTCAATCAACAACCCTAGGAATTTTGATGCTTTTCCTAGACTTGTATCTAGATGTGGTGCCATGTCTACTAGTATGTGCATTGGTGCATCATTATCAGAGTAACACTAGTAACTGTAATCAGTCATTGAAATCTGATGAAATTTCCATTAGCTTTCAGTGAAGGATTTGCATTATGTCAATATCAAAGATATTACTTTTTAACTAATTGGAAGCATGTTGATTCCTTATTGTGTTCGATGTAGAGTGGGTTGTTGACATAATAATGATCATGTAAAAGTTTGAAATACAATCATCCCAAACACAGGTATAGTGACCTTTTAAATTGGTACTCTTACTTGTTCATATGTTGAAGATTTGTTGGTTAAGTTTGACATCTCATCATTTTTTGGATGAGTAGGTGAGGAATGAAGTATGGAAAAAAATTATCCTTGTTGAAGGAATGGGAAAAGTTGTGCTAGCAATTCTCTTTTTTTGGTTCATATAGAGGCAGAGTAGAGTTTAACTCAGTTAGCAAAGAGGAATAAGAAAACGATAAAGCCTCTCATATGTTTCTGATGAGGATTTTGAAGGGGAGAGGCTATTAGCTATTTGTTATGGTGATCCTAACAAAGTGAAGAAATTCGGAGTGTATTTACGGCATTCCACAATTCATTTGGAAAAGACTAGCCACATGTCATATTTGTTATATTGTCTTTGTTGTTAAGCTCTTATATGACTATTCCATCACTGATCATAAATATGGTTTATAGAGCTAAGACATGATACGAATATTCTAATTATTCCATATTTTTTCACCCATATCTTTATGATCTATTCTGGTGTTATTAAACTTGCAATTTTTTGTCATTTCTAGGTCATCAAGGCCAGTGCAAATCTTGTTGAAAAAAGAAGAGTGTTTCCCTCATGTAAAAGACGACAATCCACTATTGTATTGTGTCTAAAGTAAACATTGTTGTGGTTGCCCTAAGTGTAAGAGGATTGCATTGTGCTTCCTTTAATTATTCTCTCCATTTTCTGGTCCAATGTGTGCATTCATATCAACATAAAAGGTCATAACTAGTTCATTGACAATGCAGATGAACTTAAAGCAAATGAGGAAAATATTTCTTCCTCTGCCTTGTATTATGATTAATACACATTGTCATAGCTGACTTTTACAAACATAATCACAGATAATTTATTTTGCTCCTACAATATGGAATTTTTCATTTTCTTTTCAATTAATTGATGTTATTTGCTTTATTAACTCAGTAATTGATAAACGAGATAGTGATACATTGATTATTTCAAGTGAGAGGGTTAAAAAATAACACCCTTGGGAATTTTGAGAAGCGTTTGCTAACTTGTATGTTGGATGTGGTGCCATGTCTTTTGGCCTATGCATTGGTGCTTCATTATCTGGAGTAAAACTAGTAACTGTAAGTAAATAATTTAAATCTGTGACATTTCCTTAGCTTTTAGTGAAAAGATTTGCATTATGTCAATATCGAAAATATTACTTTTAACTAATTGGAAGCATGTTGTTCCTATTGTGTTTAATGTAGAGGTGGACCGTTGACATAATATTGATGCATGTAAAAGCTTGAAATACAATCATCCGAGACCAGGTATACTATCTTTCAAATTAGTGCTCTTAATTATCCAAATGCTGAAGTTTGTTCGGTTAAGTTTGATATCTCATCTTTTTTTGAACGAGTAGGTGAGAATCAAGCAGTGGAAGACTTTTTATCTTTGTTGAAGGAATGGGGAAAGTTTTGCTAGCAATTATGATTTTTTGGTTTAGATAAAGAGGCGAGCAATGTTTGAACTCAATTGAAAAGAAGAAAAAGTAAAGAAAACAGTAAATGCTCTCCAATGTTTCTGATGAGGAGTTTGAAATGGAGGTATTAGCTATTTGTTATGGTGATTCTAACAAAGTGAATAATCTTGAAGTGTTTTTAGGTATCTACATTTCATTTGGAAAAGACTGGCCACATGTCATATTTGTTCTATTGTCCTTGTTGTTAAGCTCTTTATAGGACATATTTCATCACAGATCAAATTATTCACAGACCATATGATATGGTTTTATAAGTTGAGTACACGGTAAGATATTATGATTATTCCATATTTTTTCACTCATACTTTATGATCTGTTCTGGTGCATTAAACTTGCAATTTTTGGTCTTTTCTAGGTCATCAAGGACAATATAATCATTGACAAAGAAGAGTGTTTTCTCTCATAGGTTAAAGATGACAATCCACTAAACTGCATTGTACCTAAAGTAAACATTGGTCAGGTTGCCTTAAATGTAAGAGGATTGCATTGTGTTTCCTTTAATTATTCTCTCCATTTTTTGGTTCAATTGTTGCATTCATATCAACATAAAGGTCAACTATTTCAATTGAAAATGCAAATGAACATAAGGGCGAAGAGGAAAATATTCCTCCCTGTGACTTGTACTATGATAAGAAATACACATCGTCATATTCTGACTTTTGCAAACACAGTAAAAAAGTATGGTTTTATAGAGCTAAAGACACGGTATGATTATTCTGATTATTCCATATTTTTTCACCCATATCTTTATGATTTGTTTTGGAGTATTGAACTTGCAATATTTGGTCATTTCTAGGTCATCAAGGACCACGCAAATCTTCTTGACAAAAGAAAGTGTTTCTCTCAGATGTTAAAGATGACAATCCACTAAATTGTATTGTGCAAAAGTAAACATTTCCTAGGTTGCCTTAAATGTAAGAGGATTGCATTGTGCTTCCTTTTATTATTCTCTCCATTTTCTTGTTCAATGTTGCATTTCTTATCAACATAAAGGGTCATAACTAGTCACTTATATTACTCCCTATGATCACTTGTATTATGTATGAAATATCATTGTCAACCTGACTTTTACAACATAATCATTAATATAGGTTTTACAGACTAACGACAAGGTAAGATTATTCTGATTATTCCATATTTTTTTGCTCATATCTTGTGATTTGTTTTGGTGTATTGACTAGCAATTTTTTTTTCATTTCGAGGTTTCAAGGACCATGTAAATCTTGTTGATAAAAGAAGAGTGTTTCTCCCAGATTTAAAGATGACAATCCACTAAATTGTATACAGTTAAAGTAAACATTGCTCATTTGCTCTAAAGTAAGAGGATTGTATTGTGCCCTTAATTTTTCTCTCCATTTTCTAGTCAATTGTTTCATTCAGATAAAAAGAAGGATCAAAACCAGTTCAATTTAAATTGTAGATGAACTTAAAGGCAAAGGAGGAAAATGTTCCTCCCTGTGACTTGTATTATGATATGAAATACACATTGCCATACCTGACTTTTACAAACATAATCATAAAGAAAGGTTTTATAGATAAAGACACAATAGATTATTCTATTTATCCATATTTTTTCACCCATATTGTTTTTGATTTGTTCTGATGTATTGAACTCGTAATTATTTGTCATTTCTAGATCATAGGGACCATGCGAATCTTGTTGACAAAAGAAGAGTGTTATCTCATATGTTAAAGATGACCATCCAAAAATTGTATTGTGGCTAAAGTAAACTTTGCTCAGGTTGCCCTAAATGTTAAGAGGATTGCATTGACTTCCTTTAATTATTCTCTTCATTTCTATTTCAATTGTTTCTTCTTTTCAACATAAAGGGTCATAACTAGTTCAATTGACAATGCAGATGCCTTAAAGGAAAAGAGGAAAATATTCCTCCCTGTGACTTGTATTATAATGAAATTACATTGCCATACCTGACTTTTACAAACATAATCATAAAGATATGGTTTATAGAGCTAATGACACGATAAGATTATTCTGATTATTCTATATATTTTCACCATATTTTTGATTTGTTCTGGTGTATTAAACTTGCAATTTTTTGTCATTTCTAGGTCATCAAGGACCAGCAAATCTTGTTGACAAAGAAGAGTGTTGCTCTCAGATGTTAAAGATGACCATCCAAAAACTGTATTGTGGCTAAAGTAACTTTGCTCAGGTTGCCCTAATGTTAGAGGATTGCATTGTGCTTCCTTTAATTATTCTCTTCATTTTCTAGTTCAACTGTTTCATTTGTTTCAACATAAAGGTCATAACTAGTTCAATTGAACAATGCAGATGCCCTTAAAGGAAAAGGAGGAAAATATTCCTCCCTGTGACTTGTATTATGATATGAAAATTACATTGCCATACCTGACTTTTACAAACATAATCATAAAGATATGGTTTTATAGAGCTAAAGACACGATACGAATATTCTAATTATTCCATATTTTTTCACCCATATCTTTATGATCTGTTCTGGTGTATTAAACTTGCAATTTTTTGTCATTTTTAGGTCATCAAGGACCATGCAAATCTTGTTGAA